GGCTCTCACATCACCAAGCGCGAAGCGCCGTGAGATATTCGGCGAGTCGCATGAAGGGTGCGCTGCATCCTGCTAAGGGTGTTCGGCATCTTGTGCTTACTTCCTTGCGTACGGATGACAGCTTCGTATGACTTAATTTATTTTCTGGTGCTTTCACTTCCTGAGATACTTGTAAGTACTGTGTAACTGCCTCGAGGGTGCTTGACCATTTTAACACAACGTGGTGCGATCATCCCCCTTGCGCGGAGTGAGGGTTCTCGACCCCGCACAACATGATCTACTCGACCACCATCTAGTCTATGGTTACCGCCAACAAACATCCCGGAGGTAAAAAAGAACAAAACGGTAACCTGGTTGCCGAGTTCACGAAGTGAATTGGCTTGTTTTACACCGTCGTTGCCAATCGACGAAAACCCAACCCCGACGGCAATCACCGGGGTGGGCGGGGATGGGGAGGGGGGTTGGTCCAGGCGCACAGGGTGGGGTGCTTTTCGGGGAGCTGGATCACATGATTGGGGTAATTTTAGTGGGAGCATCGTTTGTCCGTAGGTCAAAGTATTCTAGGTAGTTGGCTGAGGCAGTGGCAAGATGTTCCGTTTGTCGATACGACGTGTCATACGGCAAGGTGCGGGCTGGACGTTGGGGGAATGTTCCGTGGAGGGTATTGATAACAGAAAAAAATTATTTTCGGATGGATCGGGGCTTCTTTGGTGGTGGTGTTGAAGCTGTCAAGCAGAGAGACTGATGATTGTCCGCTACAACCCGACAGATTATTCTTGGGTACCTATCACGGGCCGCGGCAGATAACGTACAAGTTTCCGCTGTATAGACTTATGAAAAACTTGAAGCGAGTGTCGAAAGGGCACTCTTTATTAATGATTTCGACAAAGAGTTCGATTGTCATTTTCGTTCATGAGGAAGATATGAGATAAGCATGTTCTCTGCCGTGATGTAAATGCATTCTTCCCGTTTGATCGAGTGTGCCCTACAGGGTATAGATGTTTGGACAAGGGAGATAAATTGAGAAACGACAAAGACCACACATAGGCCGAGAGAGCCACGTTGTTGAGCGTACTCAACCTTCACGGGTTGAGCGTACTCAACCTTCATATGATGAACGTTCCCAGTAGGTAGTCTTTCGAAGCGAAGTGACAAAAATGAAATACCCTCCGAACCAATGTCTCTGGCCTCTGGGCTCAGCTCTCCGGTAGCCAAGAACGCGTACGCCTGCACATAAACGCCCGACAGAGAAGACTCTGGTCCCTCACTGAACAAAAAACTTATCATGTTCTCCGGCGGAAACCGAAAGATGAAATATATGCTGGTCCCTCACTGAACAACAAACTTCTCATGTTCTCCGGCGGAAACCGAAAGATGAAATATATGCTAGAGGGGTGGATCGCGCAATGCGCCCTCCACATTCAAATAACAGACGAGCAGTGCCCTACCTTCGTGCTGCACACAATGGAAAAAAAACTGCATGTACCCAACCAACGCGGTGTGAGTCAAACCCAAAACAAGCCATCCTCTTCATGCGTCGTTGGAAGAAGTCGAGTTTGGTTTGTCCGAAGGGCCTTCACGAGAACTCGCTACGAAACCTCATTCGCTTCCTCTTCTTCTTCCTCCTCTTCTTCCTCTTCCTCCGCCGCCGCTTTCTCTGCAGCAGGCCTGGTCTTTTTGTAGATTTTTTCGTACGCCTCCCGCGCTACTGAGAGGTTTTGAGTGATCCTTGTAATTTTTGCTTCTGCTTCTTTCGCATTTTCCAACTTCTCTTCCAAGTCATCAACGCGATCGCTGGCAGTAATCAACATATCCACGGGATTCCCGGCGTCTTTGGCCGCAATCTTGTACATCGCCGCTGCCACGCTGCTTGATGTGGTCATGAATGCGTCCGCAAGTTGGACCAAGGCTTCTTCCGGTATAAATCGATCTGTACGATTCAAGAAAATCCACGATCTTTACCTACAGCATTAAGGTATTTGTATGATTTCTTTACTAAACCCAAGTAAAACCCATTCCCAATATCTAGGGTAAAAGGATTTTGGATTTTTGGGCATCTGGTGGCGTTTCTGGCCACTTTATTTAGTGGTGAAAGAATCATTTTCAGGTTAGGTTTTCAGGTTGGGCTTCCCCCATAACCCAACCTGAAAACCCAACCTCAAACTAATACTGCCTTTCCCTGACACCGAACCCTCACATCAGCCATCCAACCCGTCAGCATATCACTTGCAACTGTAGCCGCCCACACTCGACCCCTTGCCCACCCCACCTACTCCTTGGAAAGTAGTCACGGGGCACCAGTTACCTAAAAAAAACAACCTCAAAAACCCAACCTCAAAGTTTAAAGCTGACTTCATCAATCTTCACGCCACCCATCTAACATAGCATATCCCACCACCTCTTTCCATACCAACACCCACATTGCACTCATACACGTTGAATTTAACCCATCCATTTCTCACCAGGTAAAACACGGGCAGGAAAAAGGGGAGGCAGGGTGGCAAAAACAAGAAGCAGATGATGAGCAAGAAAGGGGGGAGGCAGCTCTGCAAAAACAAGAAGAACGTCCCGGCGACCCCGAAGCTTCGCGACAACAGCCGCGTTTACTTCACGACTGAGGGGGCGCAGTACATGGCGCTGGACGTCGGTGGCGGAGGTCTGTGTGCTCTTCTCGGCGTCATCGCTGTGGCGATGGACGCCGCAGGAACCCCTTGTGAGGAGATTTTCGCAGCCGTCAGCGGCGAGCTCACGGACGACATGAAGGAGCACGTCCAGTCCCTCCGCGCCAACATCGTCAGCACGTGCGGCGACCAGTTCACCTTCAAGGACGGTGAAGAGCTGGCTAGCTTCGACGACATCGTCCACGACCCGATGTGGCTGATTGTGACGAGGGCGATGTGGGAGCTGGTGACACTTCATCCAACTGGATATCTCGACGGAAGGGCGGTGTGGCTGTTGGCGAAGTTCCTCGGTTTGCACGGATTTAGGATAGTCAAGCACGAAGACGGCCACTTGGTCCCATGTGATGCCGGGGGCCCCATCTCCTCCGAAGAGTGCTCCATGATGCTGCACGACGGCTACGGGCACTTCAAGGCCCTGATTCCACTTCGAAGAATGCCACTGGTAAGTCTCGTCTGTTTTTAATTGTATGTTCCGTGATAATTTTGCTTTAAATTTAAAAACATATTTGAAGCTCACACCGCTCACGATTGGCCAACGCATTGTATTATTTTGCCCCCCCCCCCCCCCCCCC